AGAAAACTATCAAATCATTCACATTAGATTGAATGTGTATAATAATAAAATGAAACCATCTTGGAAAATAAAATTAATAAAATCAATCAATCCCTAGAATTTCGTTTTAAAAAATCAGAAGATGTATTTATTTGTATAAATATATATTAGGTTTTATCAAATCTATCTAAACAAAATAGTGATAGAAAAAAAAGTGAAAAAATAAAAGTTGAAACTTATTAACAGTTAGTTTAGAGACATTAAGAGAGACAACAATAATTAAGAGATCAAAAAGCATAATAATTTGAGGAAAAATTGAATAAAGTAGATTAATTATAGAAATTAAAAGAATAATAACAAAGAGAGAAACATTTATTGAGATTAGAAGCAGATAAATTAAAAGAGAAAATGAGCAAAGAATTCGAATAAGAATTAGCAGTAAATAAATATATAATTATATTTTAGAAAATGAAATCTAAGTAAATTAAACTAATATAAAATTGATAATGAATTTTGTCATCAAAAATTTAATACTTATCCTACTTATCTTGTTTAATTGTTGTTTTCATAATTAAAAATTAACTTCTTTTTAGTTTTTAATTAATTGTAATAATTGTATATATAAGAATAAATAATCTTTTGGGTTTATATTTTTTTATGTATGTTTGGATTATAAATTATTATTTTTGTTCATATTTTTAAATATTGTGAATATAAGTAAATTATTTAATTAACAGACAAATATTCCAATGGATCAAAAATAAAAGGTTTAATCATTAATGAACAATTATGTAAAGAAAGAAATGAATAGATCAGGTGTAGTAAATGTAAAAATTTACTTAAACAATGAATTATTACATTCAATATAATTTCCAACTTTAAATCAAACCACATAAAATTTAGTGAATCATTTAAAAAGTTTAATTAATTCACCATTAATAATTGGATTTTAAACTATAGATTAAAATATACCTTTGGATTTCTATTTAACATAGAATTATGATTTAGGATTTCTAACCAATTAGACAATTTAATTAAAACCTCTAAATTCAATATAATAAGCTCTAATATCTTTGGATTCATTTTATTTTTTATAATGTATAGGTGTTGGAGGATTTTCAAGAGTTTATTTAGTTAGATGTAAATCAAATGGTTAATTTATGGCATTGAAAATGATATCAAAATAATTCATTTAAGAGCATGATAAATTCTAAATTATTTAAAATGAAAGAAATATAATGGTTGCTTTAGCAGAATAAAGTAATTCACATCCATTTCTATGTAAATTATTAAGTGTATTTGAAACTAAAAGTTGGGTTTGCTTTGCCTTAGAATACTGTCCAGGAGGGGAATTATTTCAATAATTGAAGAGAGTAAAGAGAATGGATGAATAATAAGCAAAATTTTATTTTAGTTAAGTTTGTTTAGCTATTCATCATTTACATGAGAATGGAATAATATATAGGGATATTAAACCAGAAAATATTCTAATAGATTAAGATGGGAATATCAAATTGGCAGATTTTGGTTTAGCCAGACCAAATATGAAAGATGATTTATTAGCTTTTTCATTTTGTGGATCTCCAGAATATATGGCACCTGAAATGTTATTAAAATCAGGACATAATTATTAAATTGATCATTATTGTTTAGGAGCTTTACTTTATGAATTATTAACTGGATTACCACCATATTATTCAAATAATCCAGAATAAATTTATAAAAATATACTTTAACATGATTTAACATTACCAAATAAAAATTGCAGTGCAGAATCCAGAGATCTTATGTAGAAATTGTTATAAAAGGATGTATTTAATCGTTTAGGGAAGGAATATGGAATTTATGAAATACTAAAACATCCATGGTTATAAGATAAATAACTATATAAAATTCTTAATAGATAATATGAACCACCATTCAAACCAGACTTATTAAAAATGAATTTTGATTATAATGAAATTACTAAAGGGGAGAATAATTTTTAGAGAGATCTTTAAAAATCATTAAATTCAGATAATGAAAATGTTTTTAGTCCTTTTTTCTCTAATTTTTATTTTTCTTCAATAATTCAAAAATCTTAAACAAGATCAGCTTCAATAACATAAATAAATTCATCAAATATTGATGATAAAATTAATAATTTATTAGTTAATAATAAATCTAAGAATGTATTATAAACTCATACAGCATCTTAACCAAATATAAATTATTAATTAAAATAGAAAAAAGTATCTTAAGAAAGAAATTCTGATAATAATAAAGAAAATATAATGAAAAATTTTAGTTCATTAATAACAAAAACATGTTAAAAACATAAAAAAAATAATTAAAGTATGCCTGATTAAAGTTGTGCAATCTCTTCTGAAATGAGATCACTATCAACTTAAAAAATAATTGATACTTAAAAAGTACCTTCTTCATTTAATACAACTCTATTAAAATCTTAATTTACAGAAACTGATGAGGATTCAAGTATTAATAAAACACATAAAACTCTTTTTGGAGAAGCTAAAAGTTTGAATAAAAACTTCACTAATTAATGCACATTATTGAGATTTTTCAAATAATGAAATATTTCTATTTAAAATAAAAATATTAATTATTAAATTATAATTTTATAATAATAATAATTTCAATTTTTCTTTCTCTTTGCCATTAATTGTTTTAAAGATTCTCCTTAATTTTTTTGTTTGGCTAATTTCTTATTTTCATCTGTTTTTATTTTGTCAGGAAATAGTGTCATTTAAATATGTTTGGTATCAGCATCATCAGCTAGTTTCTTAATGAATAAGTTAAAATAAAATTTACTATCCAATCCTATTTTTCTTCTTCATCATCTTAACTTCCATTTGAATCCTCTTAATAATCATAATCTTCATCATTAGCTTATTAAACATTAGAATTATTAATTTCCTACAATAATAAAAATGAATACTGCCTCTTTATTATCTTAAATAAGAAGATCTTAATTTTAATCCTCTTTTTTTTATTCTTAAGATTCATTTTTCTTTCTTTATTCTTCTCTTTATTCCTCTTCAAGTGCTAACTTTTTTTTTTAATTTTCTTCCCATTCATATCTCTTTCTTCTATATACATCTTCTACTTCTAAATTAACCTTTAATTCTTTAGTAAGTCCAGAATTTCTTTAAACTTCTATTTATGCAAATAATTAATCATTTGTATTCATTTTTTCTTTAACAAATTCCATAATCTTACTTGAAGTTGATAAAAGTGTTGCAAATGTACTTTTTAGACTCGTTAATCTTTTTTCTTTTCCAGCAAAATAAGTCTTTTATTTTTACATCATTTAAATCTCTATTTCCTTTTATCTCATATTTAATTCAATTTATTCAGCTTCTAATGCCTTTATTTTATTCTATTGATCTTATTAATTATCCTTTAAAAAAAATAATACAATTTCATTAATTTCTATTATTACTCTAACTTAATCTTTTATATCTATATCAAATATTGCTTTTATTATCTCTTTCTTCTCTGAAACAATCTCTTCTATCAACATTATTTAAAATGCTTCCAATTTTTCAAATTCTTAAGTGAATGTAGATACTTTCTCTTAGAATTTAAATTCTTATGAAAAAACATATTATTTTATTGCTTTCCATGCTAATATATTTTCATAATATCTTTATTCTTCTTCTGGTAAAGCAGCTCTTTTTAAGGGTCTTGAATTTTAAAGTGGTTTCCTTCCACCACAAGCAAATATACCCCCACTTTAAGGAGGAGCAGGTTAATTAATTATAGATTCAGGTTATAATTATACTTTTTCTACTTTTAATTTAAGTTCTTCTGCTAATTATACAGGACCTTTTTTTGCTTTTATCAAACATCCAGCAATCCAATTAAAAATAATTCCACTTTTATTGTCAGGTTCTGGTAAATCAAGTTTATCTTTTTTATTTATTTAATTTAATTTTTACTTAAAATTGACAATTATATTTCTTCTATTAATTTAAGTAACTTTGCTTTTTATTTCTATTTTTCAGCAACACCCCATCTTTTTTTATCTTCTTATTATTTAATTTATTATTCCATTTATTTATACTCCTTTTAGTATGATGATAATTCTTAATCTAAATGAGTTGGCACTTTGAATTACTAAAATAAAGGTTAATCAATTCATCTTACTTCAAATATTTTTGTACAATTAAGTGCCTAAGAATGTAATTCCTCACTTTTAACTTAAATTTCTCTGTAATATGGATCCTGTATATAATTTGTATAATTACTTCACCATCTACATAATTCTTTAATTTTTAATTGAGATTTGTATTCACATTATCAATTTCATTTTTTCTTTTTATACAAAGATTAATAGCATCCTCAAATTTAGTTACTTCATCTGGATTATCTATAAATCTTAAGTCAGATATTTCAATTTATTCCATTTCTTATTATAATTAATTTAAATACTATTTTATTCTTAACAGATTATTATATTCTAAGAATTATTCATAAAATATAAATGCCATGAGTATCCACAATGTTAATAACATTATATCTTTATAAAGAATCTACATTTATTATGGATATATTAAATAAAACACTAAAACACTTAACATTATGATTAATAAATATAACTATTTAAATTTATATTTTTTATTTTGAAAATTTACTTGAGTAAAATAACTTAATTTTATATAATAAATTATCGAATAAATCAATTACATAATTATAAGAAAGTAGAAATGTATCTAAATATATTACAATTTATTTAATTCAAAAAATAATATTCATTCTCAATCTAAATAATCAAATAAATTTATCATTACATACTTATTCAATTAAAAAAAGAGACTAAATAATTGAAAAATTAATAATGAATAAATTAAATTATGAAAATATTAAGAAGTCTTATTAGTCTATTATTGATTTTCAAGAATTTAATTCATAAAATATCTTAAAATAATTAAGATAACTTAGATCCTGAATTTAATATTTGTGATATTTGGATATTAATTTAAAATTTAATTATATTATATAACTTATATATAATTAATTCACAAATATATTTCTTATTGCATAACTTATTAAGATGAAGATTGTTCTTCAGATGAAGGAGGTAATCCTTGAACTTCAAGTTCACCATTCGGTAATACAATAACTGATTTTTCAGCAGTGTAATAAAATATATCCTTGATATCTTTATACATTTATTCCTATGCTAATTAAGAAGCATTTTCAATAAAGAAGTCTAAATCCTTAATTTTTTAGAAATAATAATCTTTTTCCTATTTTAGAATTTTTATCTATATAAGTATATCCTAATTAGATGGTTATTTTTTTAGTATGGTTCCATTTGAACAAAAGAATTAGTTTTTGGAATGCTGTTAAAAGGTTATAATTGATTGGGATTGCTAAATGTATCTCATCTTATACTATTTCTTGATCTTTTTGGAATAATTTTTGTTTAATCATCTAAATCAGCATTTCCTCTTTTGACTTAAGGATCATAGTCTTTAGGTACAATATTCTAATCCATATATTTCTTTAACTATTAAAGAAACTCCAAATTATCTTATTATTTACATTTTGTTAACTTTTCTATTTCTATTGGTTTTTGAATTCCTAGTTTAGAGAAAGCTTATTAGAGAACCCTTATAATTATTAACAAATTCATATTCTTGTTTAGCTTTCCAATTAATCTTATTTAAGGCAACTATGTTATTGATAAAATATAGATATAAACTTTTTCCTGGATGAACAGCATCAACTAATTGACAATATACTGCAGCAGTTCCTAGTTGTTCAATTTTTTAGAGTAAGAGTTTTAATGTATCATTAACCCATTATAATAGTTCTGCTCTTGAAATTTCTATATTCATATTAATGGGAAATAAAATCTAAATCCAACTTAATTCAAAATTCTATTTTCCTAACTAAACTATACAAGGTATGTATAAGATCTATTAGAGGAATGGTGATTATAGAGGATTGTCAAGATACTTTGAAGGAGTTTTCTAAACTTTATATTAATTTATAAGGTGAGGAAGCATGGGATAAAGGGTTTGAGTGTCTTGAATCAAATGATTTTAATATCTTCCATTCCCAATTTAAATTGCTTAAAGATATTAATGAGGAGAGAAATCCTGAGGATTAGAAATTGAAAATCTAAAAAACGATAGCAATTCCATTCACTTATATATTACCTGATAATATTCCTGGTTCAATGAAAAGAGAAAAGGGTTATAAATTGAGGATTGAATACACTATTTCATTAATTGCTGAGACTCTATAATTAGATAGGATCCTCTTAAAAAAATTACCTATTATCATAAACTAATATGCAGTGAGACAAAACAACATTCGAAATATAACTAATAGTCATGCCATACGTGGATATTGTTATACATATTAAGGAGTATAATTATAAAATCAATTTTAGATAGCTAAATTGGATTGTAAATATAGTGGAGAAGAGTTTTCAATTGGTGATTCTATTAATTTAGAATTGTAGATTGATTTAAGGGAAAGTAAGTAATACATTTAAGAAATCATAATTTCATTAAATAAGAGGACCACTATCAATCATTAAGAACCAATAGTCATCATAGAATAAATTTCTAAACATAATTTACCTGGAGTTGTCTAAGGAATTGTTTAAACAATTAAAAAATCAATTGTTCTCTTTGATTTCAATAATAAAATAGAACTTTCTACAACTGGATAATTAATTAAAGTGGATTATTTAATTAGGATATAAGCAAATTCAACATTATTTAATATCAATAATAATGACTTAAGGATAGATATCCCTATCAATTTATTCCAAAGAAGAATCAAATTAAACGATTTAAAGTTTGAAACTAACCAAATTAAAGATCTATTCCATCTATATGATGTAAATATAAAAATAATTGTTAGGTCGTAAAACTTTGAACAATAACATAATATTAATATAAAAATATTATTTACATTATTAATTAAATATCTTATGGGAAATAACTAATCTGGTGTTCAAATTGCTATTGATAAGTTTTACTACACAGAAGAATTGTTATCTGGTAAATTACTCATTGATAAATCTAAAATTAATTCAATTAAAGCCATTACTATTCGTTTTAAGGGGGAAATCTAATTATAAATAGAAGGTGAGTCTGTTAAAAGGGAATTTTGTATTTATGAAGGTAAGTATGATGAAAATGAACTTTAAACTATTAGAAATTAGTCAGGAGTAATAGAATTTGAATTGTAGCTCTCCAACATTATTCCACCTTCTGTGTATTATTAATAATATAGATCCAGGGGAGGTTTATATTATAAATTAGAAGTGGAATTAAATCCTAATGGTTTTTTTGATTTGGAGATATTTAGAAAAGATATTGAGATACGATAATCAATGCCAAAAGTTAAAGAATTTAGTATTGTCAAGGAATTAAATTTGGAAACAATATTTAGCAATTATGGAGTATTTTCATATCTTAATTAATAGACTCTTAATATGGACGTTAATGTTAATGAATAATAATTTCATATTGGTTAAACTGCTGAAGTTACTGTCTTTGCCGATAATACTCTTGGATAAGTAGACATTGATTATATTACTGTTGAACACATTTAAGAAATATCAATAAAACCAGAACATGTATGGATTTCAGAAATTCAACTTATTAATTCCTAAGCTATCATTGGTGTTAAAGCCTTTTAGAAATATCAGAGTCCAATTAAGGTACTCTTGACCATTAATGATCCAAATCAAAAACTAAAACCTAATTTATAATTAGGGTTCCTAAAAATATAAAATTACATAAGGATTACTACACCTTTTAGTGTATTTTAAAAAGACCCTAAATTTCCAATAATTCCTATTGATATTTGTAAATTAGAAAGTAAATGTTTATATTAAAAAATGGATATGATTGATTAAGTTAGATTACCTAATGTAACATATATAATTAAAATAGAAAATAATATTAAAACCTGTTGTTATGAAATTAGATGAGTTAGACAAAGATTTTATAGAATTCAAGACGTTAAGAGATGTCAAAAATTTGGTAAATCATATTCGTAAATGAATTGTTATTCTCATTAAATTAATTATATAAAATGCAATACGACAGATCTTTGTTAACTGAAGATATTAATGGGGCTTAACCAAAAAATAGGAAAATCTACATGAATAGAGTTTTGCCTAATTAATTGACTTTAGAAGAATAACTACGATTATAGTATTAAAAATAATCATTATAGAAAATAAATACCTCATCAAGATATTCGATTTGGCAGAAGACGTTATGAAAATGATGTTCATCATTTCTGTAATCTATGCCTACCTTAAGAACACTAATACTTTGATAAAAGAAATAGAAGGCCTAATGAATTCCCAAAAGGTGATATTAAATAATATTAGGGATTGGGAAATTATTAAGAGTATTCTAAGTATGAATTGGTTTTTGATTAGGGTAATTTGGGTTTGACAGATTATTAAGTACAAAAGATATTGAGGGTGCAGTTCCTGGAAGTTTATAAAGTTAAGCAGTTCGAAATCAAGAGATTGCTAAAAAGTTAAGATTAGAAAGAGAAATATAAAATAAATCTTGTAATCATTCTTAAATTGATGAATTCACAAAAGAGGAAAATTATTTATATTCTGGAAGAGATAGATCAAATATATTTTAAACAAATTGCTTTTAAAGTATGAAATTATTAACTTTTAGAAAATTCTGAGAAATCATCATAATTACCACCTATAGAAAGAATATCAGATAAAATAGATCATGTAGCTAATAAACTTTAATTAAGATAGCCTCGTAAAAGTTTTTAATTGGAAGACTTCAGATTAAAAAATAAATAAGCATTATTAAGAATATTTATTTGACTTCATTATTTTGTAATTAATTTTATATTTATACATGTTTCAAGATTTACATCAATAATATTAGATTTCAAACTGTGAGTAGATCTTGTATAATATTTTACGCATCAAGAACTGTTTGTTCAGATTCTTTCATACCTTAAACAACATCAAATTATAAGAATCCATGAGGCATCCATTTATATTCAGTAATTTTAATATCTTTTCCTAATTTCAATAATTTATTAGCCAATCTAAAACTCTCATCATGTAATGGATCATTAGTACCTAAAACAATTCTAGTTGGAGGAAATCTTCCAAGAATTTCATCACTAGCAATTGATGGTGATATTAATGGATCTAATTTTGCATTAAATTATTATGGAACATAAGATGAAATACATAATTTCAATACAGTATGGTGTAATAATGGATCATTTAATGAAATTAATAAACTAGGAGTAAATTGTTTAATATCTAAATATAATGCAGGATAAGCCATTAAAATTCCATCAGGAATTCTTGCCCCAGATTTAATAATTTAAACAGTTAATGCAGCTACTAAATTACCCCCAGCACTATCTCCAACTAAAACAACTTTCTTTGGTCTAATATTGAAATACTTATCAATATAATTAATTATGAACATATAAGCTTACCAACAATCATCTAAACCAAAAGGATAAGGATTTTCTGGGGCTTTACGATAATCAATAGAAAATATTGGCACTTATAAATTTTTAGCCCATTTTCTTGTATAAGTTTGATGAGATCTAGATGACATGCTAACAAATCCTCCTCCATGTATATGAATAATTATTTTATCAAATACTTTTTCTCCTTGTATCAACTTTAGAGATTATTATACAAAACTCCCAGTTTAGATTTCTTATAGATTATAATGACATAATATTCTAACAGGTATTGTTTCTTTATTTTTTTTAAATAATTCTGGACATTTTGGTAAATTTGTATTAATACATTCCCCACAATCATTTTAAATATAATTAATTTTATTCTCCTTATATTATCTTAGTATATTATCTTCAACTAATCTTTTAAAGAGATATGGAATATAAATCTTTTTGTTATAAGTAATCATAGGAAAGAGAAGTGGTAATAATTTACTAAGGAAACCACTCTCTCCTAAATTCCAAGCTTTAAATGCTAGATTTTTATTTGGTTCAGCCATAAAATGATCAGCTTTTAATTTAGCATCTTTTTTGGCTACTAAATAATATAATGCACCGAATCCTTACATTAAATTTTTAGCAGCTTCATTATTAAATTCTGATCCCTTAGAAATCATGGCATTGGCAAGTAATAAACCTTCAGCTACTTTTCCATAAGATTTTGATATTTATTCTCTTGAACCCAAAAGGATTTCTTAAGTAATACTATTTAGGCTTTACCATCTATAATGTCCTTTATCGTAACAAAATATATCATTGATATCCAAATTAGCAGCTCCTGGTAATTGTTCAAGACAGGTTTATAATTTTGATAAGTAGATTACTAATAATCTTAATTCTTATTTTTCTCTTCTCACTTCAATAGTTTCAAACAATACTGATATTTATGAGAGAATATGTGTAATTACAAATTCTAGCAATATACAAACGGCTTTTTCATTAAATCTCTTTTTATTAACATTTATATTATATTCTTCATTGATTGATTTACTTGTGATTTCTTTATCATTAGTTATTAGTCCAATTTATTCAAGTTATAATATACCAATAAATGTTATTTTTATAGCTTAAAAAAATCTTGGAAGAAAGTTTGCTTATGAATTAAATCTTTTAGTCAAATCAATTGCCTTCAAATGAAGTTTATTTAATAGATCATAAGTTTCACTAAGATTTTAATATAATTCTTTTGAAATGGCTACTTAATTAAAAATAGGGCAATTAAAGACTTTATTAATTATTTATTATTGTGATTATATCATATCTTGTTTTAAAGATTATTTTTAGTTTTATTTGAATTATTCTTAATTATCATTCCATTCTTATTATATTTAGATTGATTATTGTGATTATTCTAATTATTCTGATTACTCTTCTGTACGTAATTCTAGAGTAATATCTTATGTTAGATTTGTCATAGACATACAAGATTTAATTTGATCTTCAATAGATTACATTTAAATTGTTTTTATTATATTATATTATTTTCGATTGTATTTATCAGTTCATTTATTGAGATTAGGTAACGATTCATATAAAACAAGAGATTTTGTGGAACAAATTTGAACAAGACTTCTTCCATTTCCAATCCTTCTTTATTGTTTACTCAAATTCTGTATCCGATATTTTTTTTCAATTAATTGTACATATTCATGGAAATTGGGAGGATTTGTGATTCTCTTTAGAGATTCTTTAGATTCTGTTTAAGCCCTTTATTATTAAAATCTCAATGTAGATTAAGTGTGTTATAATTCTTGTAACTTCTTCTATTTACTAAAACTCCAATCACTTGATTGCCAAGTAACTCTTAATTTTTGTTTATCCATTATAAAATTAAATATAATATATCATATATCAGATAACATGATTTTAAATAAAACTTTAATTAACATTTTCTAAATTTAGATACATTACTCTTTAGTTAAAATTCTCAAATCATAATACCCATATTTATATTTCCATACATCATACTATAATTACCATAAAACTTTATTGATTTTTTATTTAATTTTAATATATAATACCATTTAATACTAAATCCCTTTACAAACAATTCAAATCATCAATAAAATCTTAATATACTTAAGTATCATTCTCAATTTTTATGATTTAATCAACAATGAAATTATAATTAAGAAAATAATAAGAATCTTAATATATCTAATATCTATTATTTAAATTATAAATTGAATTTAATATATATAATTATCATTCTTCTATTTCCTATTTCTTATTTATATTCTATAATTTATTAATATTTAATTTATTAATGTTTTTACCAATAAACACTTAAAGTATTTAATTTTAAGAATATTAGAAACATATTTGAATGTCAATGATTGTTTGGATGGATTGAAAGGATAGAAATTACATGACATTTCACTTTAGATTACTTAAGCTAGAAATGAGATTTTAAAATAGATGTAATAATCAACTAATCGAAAGAGAGTATTGGCTGAAGAAATGAGTTAAAATATTGATGAATTCTTAGAAGCTGTAATAATAAATTGAAATAATGAGTTTAGAAACATTCTATTAGTAAAAGATTTCAGAAATAAGTCTTTAATTTGATTGATTCCAAGAAGATTGAATAAGAATGTGAATAACATAAGATAGTATGTATTGAAACAGATGAAGTTAAAGATGATTTTAAGTAATTGCATGATTTGATTAAATCTACATTTTGTAAATGATTATGCAATATATTTTAATGGTATTATTTTAATATTTTAATATTTTGTAATATGAAAAAAGTAGAGTCACTCTAATATATTGAAAATAGCTCTAAGAATAAATAGATATCATAAAATCATGTCAATAATGATCTGTTATTTTATTTATATATACTAGTAATCATTCAAATGTACATGAAACACCAGAAAAAATAAAGAACTCAAGTATTGATATAGGTTAGAAATAGCGATAAAGTTCTTTTGATTAATTTAATCGAATCCAATTTCATGAGTAAAATATATGATTGAATATTTAGGGAAACATTCCCATTAGAAAGTAATTATGACAGAAATATTGATAATTCAAAAATGTCTGAATATTCATTATAAAGTATTGAAAGAGAAGACATGGTTGAAGATAGAGTTAATAATCATACACTCCATAAATCAATACATATCTATTCTAAATTTATATCCTCAGCATCTCATTAGTTAAATATGCAATAAAAACCAGAGCCAGAACCTGAAAAGCCAGGAATTCTCATAAATCTCTTAAATGCATTTAATCAGTAATAAGAAGTATAAGCTGAATATTTTAATGATATTGAATATGACAAAATCATAAGTAGACATAAAAAACTAATACAAAGGAACACAATCAAAGATCCATATTACGTTAGATTAGTTAAATTATCTGAATTTCAAAGATTAAATTATGAGTTGCAAGTAACTTTTTATAATTTATTAAGAAATATAATGACAATTTACCTTTCTTAAATCTAAGAAAAGGCTTCATATATGTCATATACAGTATCCCAATAATGGCAAGAAAAATAGTAAATAATTTTATATTTAAAATATTGATGACATTTCTCATCTTATTTAATGTTGTATTATATATTGTTGTTAAAACAAATGGAAGAACAGATACTGATCATATAGAAGAAGTAGTTATGATTTTATTTATTTCTGAAATAGGATTAAGAATTATAGCCAGTGGTGTGTTTTTTAATGATTATGCTTTTTTTAGAAATATGGAAAATATTTATGATTTTGTACTCATATTTTTCACTGCTATGAATCTTTATTATCCTGAAATCATTATTATTGATATATCACCATTAAGATTAGTAACATTATTGATGTATTTGACAAACATATTTCAGGGATTAAATGTTATGATGACTGCCTTAAAATAGTCATTCAAATACTTAATAGAGGCATTGATGATAGTAATATTATTTTCATTAATATTTGCATCAATTGGTATATTTCTATTTTAAGGATTATTCAATTATAGATGTCAATATGAAAATGGTGATGAAACTGATGGTTGGATATAATGTAATTAAGATTAATGTCCTTCTGGAATGTATTGTATGTATAGTGATTATACACCTAAAATGCCTACTTCTTTCAATAATTTAATTGGTTCTTTAGGTTAAATTCTTAGAACTATTACTATGGATGATTGGAGTTGGGTTATGTTTTTTACTATGAGAATATTTCATCCATGGATTTGGCTTTATTATTTATTAATAATTTTTATTGGAGGTTTCTTTGGATTCAACATAGTTATTGCAGTTTTGAAAGTCCATTATTCAGAGGCAACAGAAGAAAATAAAAAAAGAGAAGAAGAAAAAGAAATTTAAAAGAGATTGAAAGAAGAAGAGGAATATCCAGAAAGAAATTTATTAGAAATTTTAGATGTTGCACATTTAAGAGAAATTGGTATATATAAAGTGATCAAAAAATATAGAAATCACTTAAATGAAGTTTCATTTAAAAAATATACTATTGAAGATCCTAGTACTTTTAAGAAATCATATCAAACTACAAGAACATTGTCAGCCAAATAAAAATAAATGGAAAGTGGTATAATTAAATTACCATTTATACAATATATTACAAGTTTTACTTGGAAAAGATTTCTTTTACCAAAATTTGATCTTTTAGATGCATTAATTAAGAAAATCAAAATAAAAAATTATACTGAAGATGAATTTAATATGAAAGTTATTGAAAAAATTAAAACTTATAAATTTTCAAGATTATAACCCTAAGTTAATAAGGATGTTAAATAAAATTTTAATTCTTAAAATGAAGTATTACTTAAATTTATGTAATTATAATTTTGATTATATTTAGTAATTAATAAGATTTAATTCAAAAAGAGAAAAATTTTAATCTAGAAAAGATAAGATCCACAAAATTCAAAATGATTTATCATGAAATGAAAATTGAAAAGTAAATATTGTATGGCAAAACTTAATTTGCAAAATCAAGTTTTCCCACTAAGAGCAAGGCCTAATCACCATTTATGAGTATTTACTAAAAGAAAGCTGAACAGAGCACAGATTCAATTGTTAATTTCGAGTAAATTAACCCTAAATCATTTAATAAAATGAAAGAATCATAAATTTTAGAAACTTACTATAAAAATTTCTCTATTATTAGAAATGGAAAACCTTATATATTTGTTTAAGGATATTATATAAATTTTGAAGGAGTTTAAGAAAAAATAAATTAAAAAATCCCATTAATAATTCATGATTAAGTGTCCAACAAATTTAAATATAAATGTATGAGAATGAAGGAATATTAAAATCATAAAACAATTACTAAACATAATTGGTCAGGTAAAGATGTACTTGAAATCAATAAAAAGAGATTGTAGTATTTTCATATAGTTTTATTGTTGCTTAATAAAATAGACATAATTATTTGGATTAATGGAATTAAAGGACTATACATAATGTCATAAAAATATGCATATTTAATAGCAACTAGCAGATTTAGTCAATTCTTTTTTGATTTAGTAATACTTAACAATTTTACATTTTTATCACTCTAAGGAATTGTGGATATCAATATTATATCAACAGTTGAAGATATTTCAACAATATTTTTATGTTTTGAATTGGTAATGAGACTTTTGGGTTATAAATTTAAAGATCTTTTAAGATCTCCTGATTTAATTTTATAATCTGTTATTGTAATAATAAACTTTTTTGAATTAACAATTAGTGATTATATGACAACTTATTTGAATGAATAAAATTTAAGATTAATTAGAGGTACTAAGTGTTTGCTTTTTTATAGATGTCTTAAATATAATAAGATGGCAATTACTATTGGTCATATTGCTTCTATGACTTTTGATTAATACATTTATTTAACTTTCCTTATGTTTTTAGTGATATTCATGTATGCTCTAACTGGAATGGAAATGTTTGTAGGAAAATTCGATTAAAATGATTCACTTGGACAATTACATTCTTATGAGAATATCTTTAAATCTTTTATGACAATATTTAATATTATGACTAATGATGATTGGTATGGAGTTTATGTGATTGGAAGTGATATTAATTTTACTTTTTCAATAATCTACTCATTTTCTTTGGTATTAATACTAAATTATCTAACATATGGTTTAGTTATGGCTGTCTTATTAGATGGATTTGGAAAGTATTTAGATTAACCAATTGAAGAAATTCAAAATTAAATGTAGAAGAACATTAATGAATAATTGTAGCATATTACATAAAATTCAGATGAAATACAAATGCAATTAGTTGAAACTATTTAAGAATCAATAATGACTAATAAAAATATGACAAATGAAGAACTAAATAAATCTAAACCAAATTTAATTTACAATTTAATTAAGTCAATAAGTAAATATTTAATATTATTTACTTTTAGAATAAATTAATAGAAAGTTATTATTAAGAACACCTAAATTATATGAGGGTATAGAATGTGAATCATCATTATTTTTATTTGAGAAAGACAACATATTTCGTATTGTATTAACTCATATTACAACATCTATGATATATGTATATATAATGGATATAGTTACTTATCTTTCAATCATTGCTTTCATACTTAAAACTTATAATGATTATGAAACAGATAGTGAATCATATCCAGATACTCTTCAATTCTCATGTAATATAATTCAATTAGCAGATACAATATTTAATATTATTGCAAAAGGTTTATTTATGGATCAAGGATCTTATTTAGTATCTACATTCTAAGTTTTTGATTTTATCTATTAAGTTTCAAACATCATAGCATTTGGTAGTAATCCTGATGATTTTAAGCCAATTCTCAAAATTTTACTTTATTTAGGTTATTTTAGACCAATGAAATTAATGTATAGATTGAGTTGGCTAACAAATTTAAGAGAAGCAATTGGAAGATCATTATTTGATATTTTTAATGTTATAATAACTCTTTTATCAGTGTGGATAATGTTTGGAGTTTATGGTATAATACTTTATGAATAATAATTTGGATATTGTGAAGATAAGATGGCTTTTGAAGTAAATAAAGAAACTTGTTTAAGTGAAGGTAAAATATGGGTAAATTATAAACATAATTTTGATAATATTACTATTGCTATTCCGACTTTATTTGTAACAGCTACATTGGATGGATGGGGAGAAATATATTAAGTTGCTGAGAATAGTTAAGTGTCTTCAATAGGTCCCTAACCATTTAATTCATATGTTGTAACTTATATATTCTTTTTACTTTTTGTTTTTATAGGATCAATGTTCTTTTTAAGTCTTTTCACAGGTGTGCTTTATACAAATCTAAAGAAAAATCAGAAAAAAATTGAAAATACAGAAGTTACTTAATCACAAAAGGAATTTAAAGAAATTTCATCTATGTTAATAAAAGATTTTCCATAATTTTCAACTCCACCAACAAATGGAATAAGAAAGATATCTTCTGATATTACAAGTAGTATTACAATTTAAAAATGTTTATTTCTACTTTTATGGGTTGATTTTATTATATTATTGATGTTTACATCAGATATGAGTGATGAATACTTTAGAACTATTAATGATGTTCATAATGCATTAAGTGGTATTTATTTTATTTGGGTTATTTTGTTATTTTTGGCATTAGGTGTAAATAGATTTTTTGATAATTATTGGAGAAGATTTTATTTTTTTTTAATAGTAATTGCAGTAATTGATTTTATAGCAGATTATTCAGTAGATTGGATTATGATATATTACAAATCAACACCAAATGATAATGGATTCTAATTACTTCGTTTATTCTTTTCTTTAAGAAGTTTAAGAATTATATTAATATTCTAAGGATTTATAAATTTATAAAGATTAATAAATGTGATTCTTTTTGCATTACCATATTTAGGTAAGATCTTTTCAATTTTATTAATTACAATGTTAGTATTTGCTTTATTTGGTTGTTAATTGTTTGGTACAATAGATGCTGGATAAGTATTAGATGATTAACTCAATTTTATGACAGCTGCAAGTGCTATGATGACATTATTTAAATGTGCATCAGGTGATGATTGGAGAACAATTATGACAGATACAATGCATTATAATCCTTTATGTTGGGAAGATCCTAAATATTGTGGATCATTTGCAAGTTAAATATACTTTTTTTTATTTATGTTCTTTTCCACTTATGTTCTTTTAACACTTTTTTTATTAAGTTTGGTAGAATAATTTGAATCATTTTTCCAATTATAAGACTCACCAATTCAATCATATATAGAAAATATTGATAAAATTAAAACAATATGGTGCAAATATTCTTCTGAAACAAAAGGATAAACAATGCATTATAAATTTTTATGCAAATTTCTATTAGATATTGGTAAACCTTTAGGAGGAGGAGAAGAAGAGAATCTTTGGGATGTTGCTAAAATTGCATCATCATTTAAATTAAAATGGTAATTAATTTAGATTTATTTATAGTGATCATTATGGTTACATTTAATATAATTAATTGATTTATGAATTATTTAGAGTTAAATTTCATTCAGATGTTTTTAAAGATGGTAGTCATGATTCTATCAAATAAATTAAGTAATTTAACAAAGAAATGCAATTACGTTTAATGTATTATAGAAAAAACAGACATATTGAAAGATCGAACATAAGTTCTGCACTTTAATTAAAAGCTAATTTCAATATTCTTCATGATTATCTTACTGTATTAATTCTCTTTAAAACTTGGGAATCATACAGTAAGATTCTCATTAAAAAGTTAGCTATCAAATAGAATTAATTTTCAGATGATGCTATATCAATGGATAGTGAATTATAATAGAAGTAATTATTATATTATTATTATGTTAGTAACTAAAATAATTTAAATCACCTAATGGAACCAGAAATGTTTGAAGTTTCATGTGAAGAAGTAGGAAATATTAATTGTAATATCGAAAACAAAAAACATCATCATACAAATGAAAGTTAAAATTTATCAAATGTTGAATTGCCAATCTATTAAAGTGCTTCACCATTCTCTATTTAAGAAGAAGATGTTAAAATAATACTCTCTGCTGCTGGAGAAAAGCAGTCTATTATATGATTTGTTATATTTGTTTTTTTTATTTGTTAATAGTTTATTAAAATTATATGATATATATAATACTAAAATGATTGAATTTATAAAAAAGAAACAATTTATATTGGATAATACAATAATTTTGAGATTCAACTATTTTTGATCTTTGAATAATAAAAAAGAATTTCCAAGATTTCCTAATTCATAAATTGAAATAAATATATATTGTAAAATTAGCTATTGAATATAAAATATGTATGAGATTGATTTTGTAACAGAAATATGATCTCATTAATTAATAATAAAATGAGTAAAGAATGTTCAGTATTATTTCATGTGACAGTAAGAACATCTCTTTCTTAAGTTGTTGGAGTAATTGGTAATTAATTTGAATTGGGGAGTTGGAATGAGAAAAACTTGAGTATTTTAAAAACAGATCCCTCAATATTTCCAAAATGGGTGGCTGAGAAACCAATTATATTTTAACAAGGTAAGTTGTAATGATTGATTTAGGAACTAAGTTGGAATTTAAATTTGTAATTTTAGATAATGGAAAAGCAATTTGGGAAGAATTACCTTAAAATAGAAAGTATAGATGTAGATATTGGAAAGTAATATTAACTGCAGAATGGAATAATTATGAAGGAAAAGAATATGTTGAAAAGAGATTTAAATCAAGTGTGTGTTTAAATCAAGAAATATTAAGTTAATATACTAAACCAAGATTAAATGATTAATTTGATCCATTTGATTAGGCTAATGATGATTCAGAGGATTCTGTAGATGGATTCGATAGTTTTTCTAAAGAGATAGCAAATAGAAAGAATTCTGAATCCTCAGAATCAGAAGAGGATAAAAAGAAACCAGCTTTAGAGATAAATAAAGATAGTGAATTTACATCACTTTATTAGTTATATACAGAGAATCCTAAATTCAGACAATTAAAGAATTTTAGTTAAAATGATATTTTATATGAAATAAATGAGGATCCTTTGATTGGAATTAGTGATGAAGATTCATTATTAATATCTACATATTATCTTCCTATTGTTGTAATTAAGTAAACTGATGGATCTTATTAAAAACATAATTATTAGCATTCATTTAGTTTGCATTTGTTATTTGGTGTACAATAATTTAAAAGAATTTGGTTTGGATTACCTATAGTATTGAATGAAATAGGAGAGAAAATTAATGATTAAAGTGAAGACTTAAAACATTTTTTAAAACAATTTGGATTTGTTCCTGTATTTGTAAATTAAGAATGTTTGGATTATTTCAATAAAGAATTTTGTACTAAATTATATCAACCTATTATGAATAATGATGTTAGTATTACAAAACTTTCTGCACTTGAATATTCAGATCATATGTAAGAATGTTTTAAAAAACTTAATGATGAATTTTTTTAAGAAATTAAACCATATATTAATTAAAATTCAATTGCATTAATAGCTGATTACAGATTATTATATTTGAGTCAAATTTTTGTGAATCATAAATTTACTAGATTACCTTTAGTGATATTTTATAATAGATTATTTCCTCATTATGATAATTTAAAGTTGATTCCTTTTTTTAATGAAATAATCAATTCATTTTTACATGCAAATGTTATTTGTTTTAGTAATTATAAAACTGCAAATGAATTCTTAACAGTTATGAAAGATATATATTAAGTTGAATATCATTCATTTAAAGGTAATTTGGCATTTCATTATTATGGAAGAGAAATCTATGTCAAATTACAAAATCCAGGTATAGAAATATCAGCTTGTGGTGAATAATAATATGAAATTATTGAACCTCATTATGATTAAGAAGATAATAAAAAATAATTAAGAATAGTAGGAGTTGATACATATGGACATTAATCAGGAGTTGAATTGAAATTTAGACATTTATTCAAATTCATTAAAGAAACTAATATTATTTAAAATAATCCTAATATTAAATATATATAAATACTATTGAAGGCTTTTGAAGATCATGATATTAATGAGTAAAGAATCTCATTATTAAATTAAATTGAATAAATCAATTCATTTTTATATCCAAAAAAAGACAATTATTTTGTCAAATTGATTGAAGAAGAAATAGATTCTAAACTTAGATTTAAGGAATTTGAAAAGGCTAATATATATCTATAATGTAAATATAGTGGTAGACACGATTTCTATTTATCAGAGTATATTCATTTAAATAATATGCCAATTGCTTTGATTAGTGATTCAAGTTGTTATCATAGAGGATTACAATCAATAGTAACTTTCAATGTATTTTCACATCTTGATTTTAAAGAAAAGTTTTCAGATTTATTATTAAAAGTACTACAAAATTAATATTAATTTACATAATTACAAAAACTTAAAGTACAAAAAGATTAATAGATAATTAGACAAAATTAAACATCTTAATGGATAGAGAATATTTTTATTGATGCTAAAAAGGCTGTTTCAATGCTCAAATTTGCTTAAATTAGTTTACGTATTTAAGATAAATTGATGATTAAAGTAGCACATAATTTAAAATTTCAACATTTGGATATTTAGTCTGTTGCAAAATCATATTAGTAATCTACTAAGCCAATTATTATTATAGAGTTTGAAACCATTGTTACTGATTAATATTTTATTGATTACAAGCCAAAACATTTTCTTTAACAGAGTCCTCATTTGAAAGGTAATGACGAAGCAATAAGAATTAGATAAGTTGAAAAGGAATTACTGGATAGAATTAAAGAATTGTCAAAAATGAATAAAGTATATATTGTTTCAGGTGGATTATTTAATGAATTATCTTCCATATTTAGTGGTTACAATTTAAGTTTATTTGCAGAAAATGGGTTTTTATATAAATCAGATTAATTGTAATGGAATGCTCTATTCAATTTAGATTATTAATGTCTGATTCAGGTGAGAAAGATATTTAATTAATATGCCATAAAAACAGAGGGAATTGAGATAGAATCAAAAGAAAGTTCAATAAGTTTGAAACTTAAGAATTCAGATGAATATGTTCAATAACTTATATAAGATCTAGTTGAAAATGTTTAAATCATTGTTGATAGATACCCAACATTCTAATTAATTGTAGGATCTAATTCAGTAGAAGTTAGTCCTAAAAATCTTAATAAAGGAATGATTTTAGAAATCATTATGTAGAAAGAGAATTTATCAAGGGGCAAATTAGATTTTGCTTTAATTATTGCAAGAGGAATACAAAATGAAGATATCTTCTCTCACTTTAAGGTTATTACTTAAAGTAGAAAGTATTTTAGTGAAGTATATTTATTATTGTAAATAATAGAATGCTAGTCTATTTTCAGTATCCTAAGGACTAGTACCATCATATGCAAATTATTATCTTAATAATCAATAAGAACTAATTTAATTATTTAAGACTATTTGAATATATTATTCTATTTTATTAAATAACAATAATAAGAAGTCTTATATTTTAATCAATTAAACTCCATTTATAAACTTCTAAATAGATGAAACCCTTAATTTTGAAAAAAATAGTATATGTGAAATAACAAAGTTTAGTTAAGTTTAATTTTATTATTATGAACATAGCAAGTAATAACTGAATGATCATTATTTTTATACAATTTAACTAAAAACTTCCTTAATTTGTAGTAATGAATGTTTTTTTTTGGTTATTCCATATATTTTATAAGGACTCATATTGCTATATTCTATAATAATCATCAATTAATTAAATAATGAATCGCGAAGTTAAGGTCGTATTATTAGGAGATTCAGGAGTAGGCAAGAGTTCGATTGTGTTAAGATTCTGTTCAGATATATTTAAAGTCACTCATGAATCAACTTTAGGAGCAGCTTTTATGGCTAGAACAATAGAAGTCAATGGAATCAATTTTAAATTTCAGATTTGGGATACTGCTGGTTAAGAAAAATACAAATCCCTCACTCCATTGTATTATAGAGGTTTTGTGCTCATATATTTTTAGAGGCTTAAGTTGCATTGATAGTTTATGATATTACACATAAGGATTCCTTTGATGTACTTAAATCATGGGTAAACGAATTAAAAGCTCATGGCCCAAAAAAGATAGGTATAATCTCTTATTTCATTTTTAGTCTAAGTTCTTGTAGGAAATAAAAATGATTTGATTGAAGATGAAAAAGTTTCCTATGATGAAGCAAACAATTATGCTTAAGTATTAAGAAATACTTATTCTAGCAAATTGGAGCTTCTCTCAAGCTCACCAGTTGTAAAGAGAATAAGGGTATCTAAGAATTGTTTGTCTCGATTGCTGAGCAGATCTTATATGAAGAATAAAATAAAATAGTTGAAGGTAAGAAACCAGAAAAGCCATAAAATCCCAGTGTCAGAGTTACTACAGATGATTAAAATAAAAAAAAGAAAAAAGAAGGAGGATGCTGTTGAATTCAATATTGTTTAAAATTATAAATATCTATTCTTCCTCAAATCTAATTATTCATCATGAACATCATCATAATATATCTAAAAATTACAAATTCTATAAATAAAATTCCAAACACCAGAAAGTGTCTCTCAATTTTATTAATCAAATACATTGTTTTCTATAAAGATTCCAAGTCTATAGTATTGTTATTTATCTCTATTTATATTCCTATCCAAATAATTCTATTCTGATACATAATCTTCAATTCCATTTGATGTTTAATTCACTTGATTCACTACTATTGATAGTTAAAATGCAAATATACATCGAGTACTTTTTTCCAATTTCTAGTAAAAGAAACATTCAACATTGTTTCTTTCTCTCGATTATCTATTCATTTCTCAGATAAATCCTTTATATTAAAAAGAAGCTTTAATTCTTGTATCTAATTTTTCTTCTCAACATTGATAAGTCTAATAAATACTATTTATAATAAGGATTCCATTATAATACATTAAAATTAATGTAATTTACTAAGAATAAAGTATTTTTTGATTAAAATCTAAGGATATCCTATTCATATTAGCCATGTACAAGAGCATAATATCAAAAATGTAGAGTCTTTTTCTTTAGAGAAAATGAACATTTAATCTTATCACTATGTCTAGGTTGAAATCTAAAAATTTTTTGAAGACTACTTTAAAAAATATTGGAGTTATACCAAAATAATCTCAAAATCCCTTTTGTGTAAATATCTAGTAAATATAGCCATAATTTCAATAGAGTATTTTAGAATGATCTTAAGAATCAGATAATAAGGTTTAAGAGATTAAGAATTGTGTTTCATTATTTAAAACATTTATTTAGACACAACAAGGATATATGAAATGATTCTAGATATTTATTTAAATCTTTAAAATCTTAATGATGTTATTTACTTAAATTAAAATAAAATGTGAGATTGTTTTAAATTTAATCCAAAATAATACTAAATCAATAATCTTATCAAAATTTTCATTATAATAAGATTCTAAAAATAAAATCATTCCATTTTTATATCTAATCCTAATTTTAATTTAAAATTTTGTTTTAGAATCTAGTAAAGAATTTAATTTAAAAGAATAAAATTTGTTGAAAAACACTTAAAAAATCTGGAAATAAATTAGGTATAATAAATGTTTTTTAATATATTTATTATTTATTAAAAAAATACAATAAATAAAATATATATCAAGCTTTGTAATTTTTATTTTATTTATATAAATTGTTAAGGGTGATATATATATGAATAATTATCCAATCTATTTGATTTGAATTAAGAGATTGAATTTGAGATTTATAGAATTGTCCTGTTTTTTTATTTTGAGTAGGTATAAAAAATTTATAATAAAAACTTTTTATCATGCAGAAGTGAAATTTGAAAATAATTAATTTTCATTTCTTTTGAATAAGCATTATCATTAAGTGATAACACATATGTAAAGATTTGTTAATAAAGCAATTATGTATATAAAATTAAATAATGAAAAAAAAGGAGAGTCCGTTCTTTGGCTTAGATAATCCTGTCTATAGTTAAAACATCTCGTCTCCTCGATTTGAGGAACTATTACCAATTTACTCTAATGATAATGCAATTGATTAACCATTAGAGGAAGCATTAAAAGATAAGAGAAATATTTTTGAGAGAAATAATTTTGGGGCTATGAAAGATGGGCATAAGGAAGAAAGTTCTGAAGATGATCTTTATTTGAGTAGCGTCAGGTAAATTATTGATTGGATCATATAAGTGATAACAGATATGATTAAGAATCTGCAAGATCAAGAACGAATTCCTTAATTCGACAATAGAGAAGTCTTAGTATTTAGAAAAATCAATAGATAAATTAAAACTCATTGAAAAAAGTGAATACTGGTTTAATAATTGATTCCACATTCAATTTATAAGTTTAAGGAGTAAAGTCAAGCTCCAAAATTGATAAATACTAAAGTTTTGTATAATAATTTGAATTGGAAGAAGACAAAATAAGAAAAAATAAGGAATTAATACAGCAAAAGAGTAATCAAACTAATGAGCTATCATCTAAAAGAAATAGTGGAATAAATAAAGGCAAAATTGGGTAAATATTAATCTGATTTAAAGATTAAATGGTATATGGGCAGTGAAAGGATTTATTATAATACGACTAGTATCAAGATTTATCCAATAACTAAAGACAAAAACTGAAACAATAAAGTTTAGACTATTAACAAGGAAAATATTTTCTGTTATTGGAGATGTGTCTAGTAATTTTGAATTTATCTTAATTTCTCGTTAAATTAAGTAATAACCTAGTCTAGTATTAAAATATAATTTATTAGTTTTTAATTTTGAAATATAATTTTCAGAAAAGAGCGACGAGACTACTACATTACTTAGAAAATTGTTAAGATTTCTTAAGCAGAAATATAATAGTAATAAGACCAGATAGTAAATTTAAAATTATTTGGGATATATTATTATTACTCTTTATAGTGATGAATATATTTTACATTCCCATAAATATCAGTTTCAATATTTCTACTTAAGGTGTATTTGAATACTTATTTGATTTATTACCATCATGGATTTTTGTAGCTGAAATAATTATTAATTTTAATACTGCCTATTATGATAAGGGATTGATGCATGAAGATAGAAAGTCAATTGTGAAACATTATTTAAAAGACAATTTTTTTTGGGATTTAATTGTAGTAATACCATTTTTAATGTCAAATATGAATATACCATTCGTTAGATATACCTTATTATTTAGATTAACAAGGTTAGCACCATTGATGGAAAGTATTGAAGAAATGTTGAATTTGGAAGTAATAATTAATAAATATGATTAGGAAAATATACAAATTGTTGTTGATCTTTTAAAACTTATCTTTTTTCTTGTTTTGACAGGTCACTTTTGTGGATGTGCATGGCATTTTGTTGCTTTAACAGAATATGAATCATTTGGAATAACAGACAATTGGCTTACTCATTATGACAGATAGGCTTTTGATTATCATTGGTTTGACAGATATATCATATCACTTTATTGGAGTGTAATCACAACAGTTACAGTTGGTTATGGTGATATTGTACCTGTTACAACATTTGAAAGGATATTTGTAATTATTGTAACGTTATTGCTTTGTGGAGTATTTGGTTATTGTATATCAAATATTGGCAATATATTTAAATAGATGTCTGATAAAAAGACTACTTATAAGTTTAAATTACGTCAAATTCATTAACATATTAGAAAGAGAGGTCTTAATCTAAATCTGTCATTAAAAGTAATGGTTTCTTTAATATTTTAGGTCAAGAAGTATTTTGAATATTTTTTCCAATTAGAACAAGAAGAAGATAGTCATGCAGAAATATTTATCAGTCAATTAACTAAACATTTAAGAGAAGAGGTGTTAACTGATTTATATTGCAATACCCTTAAAAAATCAAGATTCCTTAGAGAAAATTTTAAAGAACTTACAATCAATAATCTTTGTTAATTCGTTAAAGAGAAGAAAGTGTTGCCAGAAGAAGTTTTGTATTCTCGATTCGAACAACCTACGAAAGTTTGGTTTGTATTATCAGGAGCCTTGGAATTTGTTGCAGATCATAAAAGTATATGAAATATATGAATTTTAATAGATGAAAATGATTATTATGAAGCTACTGAAACTTTTCTCAAGAAGGTCAGTTCTGGGTAATGTATATAATCTAATTTTAGAGCAGTATTAGGAGAGAGAGAGTTCATAACACAATAGCCATATGAATATAAAGTAAGAGCTTTAAAATTTACATAAATGGCATATATTGAGTATTTATTTATTAAAAGTTTTAAAAGTTATGAGGATTTTATTAATGTTATTAGTGAGAATGATTCAGAATATGAAATATTTTGTATGAAAAGAGATAGATTATTATTTAATCCTTAGTATAAAGGATCTGGAAATGTGTGTGAAATTTGTGAATGGACTCATAATTTCATTTAGTAATTATCTTCAATTAATATAAATAGATGTCCATTTGTATTCTTGTAACCAAATATAAATAAAATATCCAGTAGTTTCACTGCTGTTAGATTAAATAATAGAATTAAGTTTCCATATAGACATACAATGAAATCAAGAACTAGAGAGAGTTTAAATGATGTATAAGAAGGAGCATTAAAGATAATAGTAGGCAATTTAACTGAATAGTAAATGAATTAAATTATAATAGAGAATATACAGATGATTATTTAGTATCTTTAGGATTTTAATTAACTTAAAATTTGGAAATAGATTCTTAAAGTGGAGATGAAGTATCTAAAAATTTAAATGATTCTCAATCTCCTACAACTAGTGAAAAGTAAAAGGCATTTTAAAAGAAAAGTGCAAAAACAATGGCTGGAGGTATTACTATGGATTTGAAAGATATAAAAGAAAGTCATGATTTGAAAAAAAGCATTATTAATTTTTAAAGAATTCAATTTGGTAAGGAAAAATAAAAAGTGTTATAATTACATAAAAAGGAATAATAAGAAAAGGGAATTGAAGTATTAGAATAATCATAAATACTTGTACTTCCAAATACAACAACAAATAATAAATTCTATTAAAAATAACTTTAAAATACTCCTCGTAGATCATCTAATTTTGAAGAATTAGGTAGTTTAAAATAATCTCAAAAATTAGGAAATGTTGCTAATCCATTAGATTAAGACTAAAATAAATGTTTTATGAAATAACTTAGCAAAAATAGTGAGGCAAGTGAAATGTAAGAATCTTTAATAAGAAAATAAATAGAGATTTAAGAAAGGAGAGTATAAATTGGAGGAGAATAGAGAAGAAAGAAAAGAAAAACTACTATTTAATTAGGATAGAAAGCTTAACGTAGATCTTATTAAAATTAATAAACTAATTTAAGTCCAGGTTTATAATAATAATTATAAAAATAATAATTGGTTGTAACTTTGGATCAGAAATTAAAAAGATAAAGTATTGGAGAATCTAAGAAATAAATGTAAACAAATCAAATAACAAGTGTTGGTTAAATTGAATTTACAGGTGAATTAGTTGAAAATACATAAGGTGATTCATTGTAATAGAAGATTTTAGATATTGTTCATTCTAATGAAAATTTTTAAGTTGATTGTTGTAAACCTACTATTATGTATTTTCCTGAGTTTAATATAGAGGCAATTCTAAAGAAAATCGATTATTATTATTTATATGTGAAAGGTGTTGAAAAGAAAATGTATAAGAGAAGCAAATCTAATAGAAATTTATTTGAAAGAATTAAACCATCAAAAAATGCTACTATTAAAAGTTTTTTAAATAATTCTAGATCATAATAGGATGTATGAAAATTTGATGATAAATAAATGGATCTCAATTATACTTATTACAACATTATAATTAGTATTAATAATTATAATAATAATAAATTCATTTTAACTTTTATATCTTTTAAATTCTATGCGAATGATAAATTTTTTAAATATTGCCTTCTTCAATTAATAAACTACTTTTTCTTTTTAATACTGGTTTAGGCTATAAAATATAAATATATAAAAAATACATTAATGCAATCTCCTGGTAAATAATCATTTATCTAACCTTATAATTATACTCTCTTCATTTTACCTAATCTTCTTTTTTAATAAACAGGATTATCATTTAATTTTATTTTAGATTCTTAACTTTCAATACTTTTTTATGTTATAGAATGTTTAATTGGTTCAGTATCCCTAACAGTTCTTTGTGAAAAATATTGTTATTCAGTAATGATATTAGCAATTATTTAATGTGTGTAAGATTTCCAAATTTTAAAAGTTATTAATGTCATTAATAGAATATGCAAGATGTTTGCATTTCCATCTAATTTAAGTTAAGGTCCAATATTAGTTCTTCTTTACTTTAATTCTCTTTTCCTATAATAGGCTAATCTAAATAGCATTGTTTTATGAAATTAAGACATCTTTTTTGATCCCATTTCAGAACATTATTCAAAGATTTATTTCTAATATCTATGATAGAATATTTCATATAATAATTAATTATATGATATATTATCTTTGATATCACAAAATAGATTAAATTTTAAACTAAGATTGGCAGCATCCCAAATATTATCATATGGTTTACATCCTAAAGGTTCTTTAATTTCAATCAATAAATGAGGTAAATATCTAATATTTAATACTTATCCATTTTAACTAGAAAATTTGAACCATGTTTTTCTAAACCAATCAATATTTTCTACATATGTTTATAAAATGGAATCTTAATTATTGAAAAAGAATTCAAATTATTCTATCATAGCTAAAACAAATAAATTTAAAAATGTATAATTAGATATTAACATAAAAGAAATAAAATAGATTTAAGCATAAGGTGAACCACAATATTTAGGATCTTCTGAACAATAAGGATTATGATGCATACAATCATTCATTATTGAACGAAAATCATCTCCACTTACACATTTAAAAAGAGTCAACATAGCTAACCAAAAATTTGAAAAGTTAATTAAATCATTAATTACTTCTCCTTTATCTATATTTCCATATAACATAACTCCATAAAATGCATATACTACCATTATTATTAAAAGTATAAATAAAATCTTAAGTAAAAATGGAAACGCAAATGACATAACTCTTACTAATCTTTATAAATTCTACAATCCTTAAAATATTATAATAATTCTTAAATTTCTAAGTGTATACATAACTCTTAATAATTAATAATTTTAAGTTAATTAAGTTGAATTGCTATATAATTAAAACCAATTGTAGTTATAATCAATTATCAAATCAATAATACCCAAAGCAATAACTAAGGATGTATAAATTCTCCATAAATTATCTTTGAATCTATTGATCCCTAAAATTAAAAATTATAACATCAACCAAGTGGCAAAAATTAAAGAACAAATATGATGAATCTTATTGATATGATCATTATAATAATCTTCAGCTGAATGATGAATCATCATTATTGTTATACAATTTACTAATAAAATAGAAAACATGCAAAAATCAATATATTTATTCATAATGAAAATATTTAAAATCTTTCTAAATTAAGATTTAGGTAATGATGCTCTTATAGGATGATCATGTAGAATTATTTCTGAAACTTTTATATATTCTAATTAAGCTTAAGTTAATTATTAATTTTCAATTTATTTTGAATTTGCTTTTAAATTGATAAATAATACACCTGTGAATAATTAAAGGAAAAACATAGATCCAACAGTGCAAAATGCCAAATAAAAGAGATATGTTGGAATTTGACTGAAATAAAGATTTGGACCATCTGCAGCCTCTCTACTATTTTATGATACCCATAAAATTGAACCCCATCCATCAAATGTAGATATAATAAATAATGTTGGCATTGCAGTTGTAATATTATCAAAATTATGTTTATAAACTCTCCATTCTTTACCTTATTTAATACATTCATCATATCCTAAATCATAATTTATTTATTCTTCACAAAATCCCATTTTACCTGCAAATAACATCATTGAAAATACAGCAAACATTAACCAAACAAAAAGTAATACAACAAATACATTAATTATATCAAATAATGATTAAGTTAAAGCAGCTCTTACTCTAACAACCCATTTTATTCTATAAAGTAATTTTAAAGGTCTAAAAAATAAAAAGGTTTCAATCACAATAAAAATAGGTAAATGAGCAATCTCAAAAAATTCTATATAATAAATTATTATATAAACTAAATCAACAACCTTCCATGTATACTATATTAATATATATAAATACATTTAAATATGATCCTTTATCTAAAAATGCTCCTAAAGCTATAGATTTAATTATAAATTCAATAAAAATAGTTGAATTCAAAATAAATAATGCAGTAACAAAAAATGGTTTTTGTTAGATATCCTTTGGTAAAGCTAAATAAATAATAGAGAGGAGTAATGCTAAATCAATGAAATATTTAGTATAGTTGCTTAAGCTTATTCTAAAGAAGAATTATCTAAAAGAATTTGATTTATCAAAGCAATAATATGATTGCATACAATCAACTCCAGCATACATTTTAAAATTATGTTTAAACATTTTCTTATAGATTTATTCAATTTTCTCTTATAGATATTTTATGGTTTTTGGTTCTGAAGTTTTTAATCTAAGCATATTAGTTTTACTCTTTAACATACTAAAATCATCTTTGATTTTCTTTCTCTCTTCATCTAATGGATCCATTTTTTAAGTTCTGGCAACTGGAAATTGAAGAGAATGAAATAAGGACACAGCAAAATTACTATTCCTTTTGAATTACTCTTATATATTATTTGAAGATGGTTAAATATTATATGGAGATTCACTTTCCTTTCTATCATTTAATCTCTTTGTGAGACCTTAAGTTTAATCTTAATATTATTGAATAGAAGAGGAAGAAGAATTAGAATCAGATTCAGATTCTGAATCATTTTCTGAAAAATCTGAATTTAATTTTTTGTTGAGTTTATTTATTTATTTAATCTTTTCTTTCATAAATTCATTATGTTCATTTGTAGATTCTCTTTCTAAATATTAACTAAATCCATCTAATAATATTGCCATCATAATTCCATAAATAAAATAATTAAGTGTAAATACTAAACTTATAGAATAAGTAATTGATAATTCTGTTTACACTTCTGTTCCAATTCTATATACACCAAACCAATCATCATTAGTCATTATATTAAATACTGTCATAAATGCTTTTGCTGGATCATCAAATGAATGCATATATCCATTTTTATGATATTCATCAAATTTATGTGCATACAATTCCATCCCAATCAATCCAAATGTTAATATCATAAAGAACATCAGAAATGCTAAGTAAATATAAGATTTATATGTAATTTAAGCTATTGCCCCAATTATTCTAGCCATATAGATATAAGATATGCATCTATAAAATAATAGACATTTAGTTGATCTCATTAATTTTAAATATTATTCACTTACATTCAAATAGTCACTAAATCCAAATTCAATTAAACTTAAAATGACAATAAGTAATTCTATTACAAGATGTTTATTTTTAGCTATTCTTCCTAATATTTATATAATAAAATACTTGGTTTATGAACTATCAATTAGAGTATGATTTCAGTTGATAATAATATTGTTGCAATATCTTCTACTTAATCAATTATACTTCTTTTAATTATACCTTCTGAAGCTAAAAAAAATGTATTAATAAGAATTGTTAAATCAAAAAATAATTTAGTTAGTTTGAAATGCATAATTCTAAATGAATATTTTCGTAAAGTTAATAAAATTCCACTTAATGATGTTTACCAAATTTCTATATCTTTTACATTTAATTATTAAAAAATATCATCAAATTTTTTTATTAAAAATAAATTATTTTTTAATACATTATTACCAGACCAATTTCTTGATTTAATGCTTTTTTTATTAAATTCTTTTCTCTTTAATTTCATATATTCCTCTTAATATCTAGGTTCATCTTATTATTTAAAATTTATTTTTGAATTAATTCTTTTTTATATATCTTCATAATCTAAATAAATTCCATTTAAAAGCATTTTTAATTCACCACAATGATAAATTGTAAAAGGTCTACTTATAGACTATTCAGGTATAACTTATTATCCACTCATGAAATAAGGAAACTTTCTTCTTTATTTTTCTATTTCTTTCATGTGAAATTATCTAATATTAGGAGAGAATGACTCTGAGCTAGACTTTTTACCATGGAAATCTGATGTAGTTTAATTATCCTTTTTAATTCTTTTTGAATTTTTTATAGGTAATTACACTAAAGATTTCTAAATATTTGAAGGAGAGCCTGCAAATACTTCAGATCTACTTGATTTTATAAGTTAACTTTAAATTATTTATTTTTTCTTTTAAATTGGTTTATAATAAAAGTTCTTTTTTTTATATCCTTTAGAATTTTAATTTTATGTTGTTCTTAAAACCTGAAAAAGAGATTTCCTTAAAATATCTAATTGACTTGTCTAAATATAATGAAATTTGTAATCTATATATTTTTCCAATAAAAATTATGATCTACTAAATTTCTTTATTGTTTCTTAAATTTTAGGATCTTAAGTAAATTTTTTAATATCTAAATTGAGATAACATTTTTAAAGAATTGATAATTTAGGTAAAAGTAATAATTTTAATGAAAAATTCTAGATTTAATTTTTAATTTAAGTAAAATTGCTTATATTTATTCTATTTTCATTGATCATACTTCCCAATAAGAGTCTAGGGAATATATCAAAAGATTAATATATTCTGTTAATTCGAGGTTCATTAATTAGAATAACATTAGAATTTGAAAATAAAAATGTATTCAT